TAAAACTTGAGGACCTTTGTACTCAGTTTCATCTAAATATTCACTGACTAAATTTTTATTTAATATAAAAAATGTGGTGTTGAGATAATTAGTTAATTGATCATGATATCCGGTTCTTGGTGTTTTGGTCGGGGTGGCCGGTCTGTGGGGGTGGCCAGTCTTTGGGTGACGGACGTTAAGGTTAATATTATCCATATGTAATTACTCCTTTTGATCAGTGGGGAAACAGGCCACGCACGCGATTGACTTTTCCAACCTAATCTTAACACTGAAGAAAAAATTGGCACGGGAGTGGAAAAAGCTTGTTGTTTTGGCGGAGTACAGGCGCTGTCTTGCTTCTTTAGTCAGGGGTGCTTTATTGCGTGGCGCTGGCTATTGAGCTGTAGTGCCATGTCCGTGCTGCAACGGACGGAGACTAGCAATAAACTACTGAGCTTGACATGAGAGGGGACCTGGCAAGTGGGATTCTTGTTCCGTTGAGGGGTTCTTTTCTAGGGGTCGAAATGTCTGTGTAATAAGTAGTATCTTGCCTTCCGTGTCCGTGGCCGTTGTGAGAGGAGACACTGCATTTTCGTACAATATCATCATCGGCTGTTTTACTCTGTCTCTCTTTCTTTTCTTTTTTTGTTTACTGCCCTAGGTATTCTTTCTGCTCATTCGTTCCTTCTCCTTTGCTGATCATTCTCTGAATCGCCATGTTACCCATTTTCCCCCGTGGCTTTTAGCTCTTGTCTCTCCTTTTCTTCTGCCCAACCCAACTGCTTTTGGACACACACTCAATCTAGGCTTGTCGTTAGTTCATACGATCATGCCCCAACGGCCTCAGGGGGTGAAGCATGGGACTCCATCCTTCTTACGCCACCAGAATGTGTCTTCATACTTGTCCAAGGCCAAGAGAGCCCTTTATCTTCTCATCTCGTCACTCCGCAGGCTCTTGGCCTTCACCCGTCGCATAACCACATTCTCTTACATCATGTCGGAACCATCACGGCCCATGGCCTTTGCGGCGAGATTTCTTCCAATCGTCTTTTGTCTGGTCTTGCTGGGCTCGTTGACTTTTCACAATGTCTATCCTTCAGATGATCCGTATCGATGTAGAGCGCTGCTGGGCGAGAGTGAACGAAATGGCAGCTGGATCCATGCTCCGGATGAGACGGGTGCGAGGAAGCCATTCACGAATTGGCAGCCTGATGGATGCATGTTGCATCATTACACGGCGCAGGACATAAAGGATTGCATGGGGGATCGCCATTTGGTCTTTTCCGGCGACTCGACGACACGACAGATATACTGGGGCACCGCGCGATTGGTAAATCATGCCCGCATCCGCGCATTGTTCTGCTACTGACTGGTAATTAGTTGGATCGTAAGAGGGCCGTGGAAGGTCGCAAGAAGGCCAATCCTCACCGAAGCTACAACACAACCTTCAATGGCGTCCGAATGCTGCACATCTGGAACCCGTTTTACCATACCCAACCAGGCCATCCTCTACGAGAACAGCTCGAGCGAATCAGCGAAGACAAGCACAAGCATAGCCAAGTCAAGGAGTCCGCTGAAGAGAAAGCGAAGCGAAAAGAAAAGCATCATGGCTCCGATCCTGGTCTTATCATGCTGGGCGCTGGTGCTTGGTTCGCTGGTAACTGGTTCGCCAATGAGTCTGACAAGCGATTCGCCGTGGCTCTGGACAACATCACCGACATCCTCCACTTTGGAGATCTCACCAAATTCGGTACAGGACCAATGGACCCTGTCGAAGGCATTGGTAATGAAGTCTTCCTCGCCCCCGTCGCACCTCCATACTACAATGAACTTCCCGCGTCCCGCACTGGACCTAAGGGTATTCACAAGGGCGAAGTCGAAAACATTGACAAAGTCATCTACAGCCAGGAAGAGGAGCATAACCTCCGTCTGCTCCGAGCATTCCCTCAACTCTCACTCAATCAGCCTGATGCTATTGTCGACAGAACCCAGACTGGCTTCCACGTCATTGACACCGTCGCTGAGATCAAAGCCAACATTCTGCTCAATGCCCGATGCAACGCCAAGCTCGATCGAATGAACGGATATCCCTACACTCGAACATGCTGCACAGATTACGGCTCGCGGCCATGGGTTCAGATTGCCATTCTCGGCCTCGCTACTCTCTACGTCATTGCGTGCATCTGCTACGAGGGCATCACTCTCGTTTCATCCATTGAGATCAAGTGGCTCGACATGAAGGTTGGCATGTTTGCTGTCTCTCTTCTCTACTGTTTCGCTGCCGACCGTACCCATCTGTTCTCCAAGGGTATGAAGGAGTTTGTTCCTAATGAGTTCTATCTCCTCATTGCAATCTGCCTCATCATTGCCGGACTCACCATACGCAAAACAAAGTTCCGTGCGCCTCGTCTCCCAGTTGCTGAGGCTGCCGCCGCCCCTACCACCACCGCCATGACGATTGATGAGGATGCTGGCGTCCTCTCAAGAGATCAGACTGAAGAGTGGAAGGGTTGGATGCAGGCTGCCATTCTTGTTTACCACTGGACTGGTGCAATTCGTGATCTTCCCATCTACATCTTCATCCGATTGCTTGTCGCTGCCTACCTGTTCCAAACTGGATACGGACATACCATCTACTTCCTCTCCAAGAAGGACTTTTCATTCCGTCGCATTGCAAGTGTCATGCTGCGCCTGAACATCTTGAGCTGTGCCCTTCCTTACGTCATGGGAACTGACTACATGTTTTACTACTTTGCGCCTCTTGTCAGCTTCTGGTTCATGGTCGTATATGCCACCATGGCTATCTGCTCCGGCTTCAACGATAGTGTCAAGATCGTCACGAGCAAGATCTTTGTCTCTTTCATCATCGTTACAGTCATTCTCAACTTCACCCCACTCACCCAATGGGCTTTCGCAATCCTCGATGTCGTCTTCCGCATCAAGTGGAACCTCGACGAGTGGATGTTCAGAGTCACCCTTGATGGAGCCATTGTGTTTGTCGGAATGCTTGCTGGTGTCGCGCAACAGCGACTCGAGCGTGATTCTGCTTGGTACACTAACTACAAAGCTGCCATCATTCCGTCCGCCCTGTCAATCCTTGGCTATGCTTACTTCTGCACATACATTGGCGACAGAAAGGCCTATATCATGATGCACCCGGTCATTGCGGCGGTGCCTATTCTCGCCTTCATCGCTCTCCGAAACGCTACTGCTACCATGAGGAACTACTACTCTACCGCCGCCGCGTGGCTCGGTCGATGCTCTCTCGAGACATTCATCCTGCAGTTCCACGTCTTCCTGGCCGCTGACACGAAGGGCGTCCTACTCTTGGATATCTTCAAGGGCGATGCCAGTCTCCTCAATGACCGATGGCGAGATCTCGCAGTCATTGTCCCTATCTTCTTCTGGGTCAGCCACCTGGTCGCCGAAGCATCCGGCAAGATTGTCAAACTGATTCTCGGTGAGGCTAAGCCAAAGCAAGGCATGCCAGAGATTGTGGAAGATGATGAAGATGAGGGCGAGCTGAAGATTGTTGAGCCTGTATGGGAGAACATGCCCATGCTCAACAACGTCCACTTGGACCGCGCAAAAGACTTTGCCAAGTCTGTTACGACTGGCCTTCACATGCGCGTTGCAGCCATCCTTGGAGTGATGTGGCTGCTCAACTGGGTAAGTTGACTTAATTACTGCTGAAGGTGTGATACTAACAGATTGCAGTTGTACTAAAGCGCTAAGGCGTTCATTAATGGCTCTTAGAGGGCGTTTTCTGTTTCGGTATGTTTGGTGATTAGGTGTACATGGGTCCTGTAGACTTGAATATAGAAATTGAGACTCGATATTTTATGATCATACTTATGACAGTATTTGCTGCCTTCAATCTGTAGTGTAGCTCTTGCTTCCATCCATCGGCCATTGCTTCGTCTGTGTTCGTTCTTCCACGCAATTTATTTGCCGCTGATCATATCTTCCTTCTGGTCTTGCAGCACTATAGCAGAAAGACATCGCCCTCTTGATGCCTTATACAGACCCCCAGCCATACAAACCCCAAACCTTAACGCCATCACAACAAAACAGTCTCTTCCTCCTTCATCCCAGCCCACTTCCAGCAAGCATTCCACAACAGCTCCCTCTTATGGACATCCTTACATGCAATATCCTCTTCCTCTCGCCTGGCACCCATGAAATATCCTTTCGCGCCCTTGAATCTCTCACCAACGCTCAACTCAACTAGCTCTCGGCCTGATTGTGCCGCTGATCTCATAGTGTCGGTGAAGTGGCGAAGAACAGGGAGTAATATAAGTACGAGACTAAAGGCAAACCGCATAAACGGCGTCTGAATCCTGTGCGCACGGGAATCGACCATGCCGCCAGGGTCCATTGCTATAGCTGTAATGCCAGAGAGTTTGGGGTTCTAATATGTCAGCTTGATGATGTTAAGACGGTGGCATAGGCTTACCTTCTCGAGCTTGGCGTTGAGGTCGTGCATGAACATGATATTCGCCAACTTCGAGTTTCCATACCGATGAAATCCTCCATCATACTCCTTCCCTTTCTTATCAGGCAACGGCTTGACTAAAAGCTCAGTATCCTCTGGAATACCAGGTCGTTGTCTAAACAGCGGATGCGAACGATTTGTATAGTGCGTATCCGAACCAAGCATCACGATTCTCCCATCACTCGCCATCCTCCCAATCAACTTTAGCACCAATACAAAATGAGATAAATGATTAACCTGAAATGTTCTCTCAAAACCATCGGGAGTATAAACCTGCTCTGACACAGACATGGTGAAAGCGTTGCAGATGATAGCTTTTATAGGTGGTATTTCTCCAGTAGCTACACGCTTTGCTGTGTTTTCAGAGAAGCCTCTTACGTTGGAGAGAAGACAGAGGTCGAGAGCTTCGATGGAGGATTTGGGGTGTGATGAGAGGAGAGATGAGAGTTGGGCGGTGTTGGGATCGGAGGGAGATGCATCGCGGACTGTTGCGAGGATGGTATATGATGGGTAGATCTTTATGAGGTGCGATATATAAGCAAGGGCGAGAGAGCCATTGGCACCGGTTATGATGATTGTTCCCATCATATTGATGGTGTAAGTCGTGAGCTGCCGTGATAGCTTCGGAGGATCATATACTATCACGCCAACTTTGCTAATGAACTTGGATAGAGAGAATTATCATAATTACAGAGTGACTTTTGCATTATTTATATCAATACAATTCTATGGCTTTCCTGGCATGAGCTGCAATATCATCAGTGAATCCTTTCGCTTGGCGGAGTTGACTGGAGTTCCGGGTAGGTCGGAGTTCCGCGGAACTCCCAGGCATTCGTACTCCGGAACGGCATGATATTCTGCGCATTGGTTTGCCGATGAAGAAATAATCTTTAATATCTTATCCAATCACTCTTTTATGTTCATTTCAGTTTTGCAGGCCCTATCAATATCTCGGCCATGTCCATCGTCCCCAACTTTCTATAGATCAGTCTACCTATGTTATCTAGGTTTCGATAACGGTGAAAACCGTTAAGCTCGTAACCAATGGCGTTTTATAGCTATGGTACACTACATGCTTACTTAACATTGACAACAGAACGTTTATATGAACATGCTCCGGGTCATGGCCAGGCCACGATGTCGTGGTTCAGCTTCAATAGCGTCACATTCTTAATTGGCCAATGACCTCATTATTATCAACATGATCCACATTGCGAGTCACCAAAAGCCGACTCCCATAGCCGCCCGATGACTGATGACAAATCCCATAACCGACGTTAGGACAATTAAATAAATAGTCCTAGAACTGATGAAAACGTCTGGTACTCGTATAAACTTCTCTGGCAACTCTAATATGGCAGATCGGACTCGATATAGCAAGTCTCAGCTCGAGAAGTACTACGATCGGATTGCCTTCCCGGCATCTGATCGTCAGTACGACATCAGCAACCTCTCGTCTGAAGATCAACAGTCCTACCTCGACACTTTGACAAAACAACAAATTCTCACAGTTCCCTTTGAGAACCTTACTCTTCACTACTCATGGCATCGCATCGTCGACGTCAACGCCGATCATCTCTACGATAAGATCGTGAATGAGAAACGAGGCGGTTATTGCATGGAGAACAACACTCTATTCAACACGGTTCTTCTCTCCCTAGGTTTCCATACATATATGGTTGGATCAAGGGTCTTTAACCCTGATGCTGGGAGGTTTGGAGGTACTTCACATTGCCTCAGTTTGGTGAATATTGCTGGGAGGACATATGCCGTTGATGTTGGCTTTGGGGCACGGAATCCGACTGAACCGTTGGAAGTTGAGCATGAACGTATTCACAAGGGATCAAGCGGTTTTCAAATGCGATTGCGGCATGATATTATCGCACAAAATGTCAGCAATCAAAAGCTCTGGATATACGAATATCGATCCCACGATGGAGGCGAGTGGGTTCCTCAATGGTGCTTCATGGACTATGAGGTTTTGCCTGAAGATATTCGAGTCTTCAACATGTCTCCTTCTAAAAGTCCTTCAAGCTTCTTCACTTTCAAGGTTGTCAGTGTGCAGTTCACTTCTGAGAAGGAGGATTATTCAGACGGAAACGCTAGGAACTTGAAAAACGTAGGTGGTGTCATTGATGGTGCCTTTATCATCGACGGAAATTTATTCAAGTATAGAAAGGGTGGAGAGACTAGATGGGAAAAGACTTTCAAGACGGAGGAAGAGAGACTAGAAGCTTTGTGGAAGTATTTTGGTGTAGAGTTGACGAAGGAGAACGAGAGGGCTATCAGAGGAACTGCGGGCGCTATACCATAGAATTACATCATAGCCGTTGGTGTTAGGATATACGCTCATGTCGCTTGCATGAAATCTTTTCCTTGATATGCTTTTGTAAGACAAGCTATGATTGAATACATTGTGATGAAATAATACTCAACTATAGTCCAACAAAACAGTGGTCAGTTCTTCCATCACTGAAACTCGATATCATCCAAAAGTGCCCACGCAGTCGAAGGACTCATCTGGAAATCATTCTCATGGGATACATCCCCCTTCATCAGCAAAGTGCGGTAAACCTGCCCCTTAGCCCTTCGATCCAGCTGATGAGAAATAGATAATATTGTGCTAAACGGCTCCTTGGGCAAATATTGGATCATATCGTCAAAGACTACAAAGCAACTATCCAAAAGCTTCCGATCCTGCGTAACGAGATCGTGCCCGGGAAACTCGATCATGTTGACTATGATGAGGATCAGACATGGGAGTGCGGTGCATGTATGAAGCCTATCACTTATGTCAGTACTAGTAGTATAAGAAGCTTTGGGAGGCTTACCATAGGATATACTCTGTCAGTTTTGCCGAACTGATTAATTCCAGACAAACTCGACCATTGCCAACGCATTCGTCCCATCCCGCTGGTAGAGGTGTAAGGTCCGCTCTTCTGACCTCACCATCAACGTCGTCGCTGACATCTATCACAGCAGGTGAGAGATACCGCCTCACTCTTTTGATCCACGTATCTTCAAAGGTGAATATCGAGTGAATCTTGATCCGGGTCTCAATATGGCGAGACCACAGATTTGCCATCATATCCCTTGCTAATGGGGATAGCCTCTCATCAATACCTTCTCTGGTACGAAGCTCTGGGGGTATTTCGTCCACCCATTCTTTTAGCAATTCTTCTATCAGAGCGATTGATCTGGCTTTACTTTCTGGTGTGAAGGTATGGGACTTTTGGCTGTAGAGAAGATCATGGGCTTTTCCTTGGATGAATGCAAACTTGGCGCATGAACGGAGGTAGTTGAACCGAATGGTGTCGGTTGATGAGGTGATGATACCAAGATTTTCTTCAGGGTTCGCTTCTGGTAGGTCCATGTCTGTTTCACAGTCGGGCTGGTGATACGGGCATTGAGACCTCTGAGCCATTTCCTGCCAGTCGTTAGTATCATGGGTGTAGTTGGCGAGTTCAACGTACCCTGTCATAGATGTATGTAAGCCAGAACAGACGAGTTCTATGAGCCTGTTTCGATTTCGACAGTCCTGCCAATGCCTTCTTCGAGTTCAACCGTAGACTTTGTGCAAGCCGAATGACGCTCCCAGTTAGAACAATAGCGAGTTGGACCTCTGAAGATCCTTGAAACAGGATCACCATGCCCAGAAGTACTTGCAATCCCATCAAGTCCTGGCTTTGCATCATTAACTCTGACATTACAGAGCGTACATTACGGATGCTTTGGGAAAACGCAGGGTCGTCCATTGTCTTTCCCTCAAGGACGCGATAATTGATGGCCAAGACGACATTTATAGCAGCCCATGCGACCGTAGAGCGCTTGGTGGATGAAGAGTACCAATCGAGAAGCATGCGCATGAATACATTTTCTTCGAGTAGTGGGATTATGGTGTTGTAATTACGGAAATAGTTGTCCACGAGTGGGAGGACTTCTGATAGAGGAGCGAGCTCGAGCTGATCTGAGCTCGCAGCCTTGGTCAATTGAGAGCCCGCATTTGAGATAGCTGTATGTTGGCAATGGGCTACGTCCAAAGATGTCTGAACTGGCGAAATGCCACAACTATTTGAAGATCCAGAAACATCAATATCGCTGAGAGAAATGTCGAGTCCTGGCTGTGTTTCTGGTACTCTAAGTCCCCCAAGCGCGGAGAGAAGAGCCTCTATGTTAGCTAAGCGCTCTTCAAGACCGGACATGCGATCGGGCCTTTGCGATCATTAACAACAACGAAACGACACTTAATTGCAGGTACCTACTGAGTCTCAGACTGGACCGAGGGCGCCGGAGTGATTCCGCCGTCCCGAGGCGCCTTTCTTCGACTTGTCACTGTCGTCTTGCAGGTAACCGCGTATAGTGTACAATTCGAGCATGTCGGTTTGCGCCCGTCGCATTTAATTTTCCGCGATACACAGTAATCGCACGCTACAGAACGACATTAGACCAATTTCCATATGATATCTTACCGTAATCTCACCTTTTCGTCTACTTGATTGCGCTGTCTCCATATCGATTCTTAATGGAACAGATCTCAATTGATTGAAACCTCCATTGTCACTACCAGATCAGATTGTCGGATATGGCGCAGCGGAAAGCCCGCCAAACTCCGCCGCATTAACAGGGGCTTCGGGGGTTCTAGGGTGCCTTGACATGGGCTTGAACCTTGACAATCTCCTGAAAATCACCCCTTATCGTGGCAAAATGCGAGGATATCTATGATGCTACCCAATTTCATGTTTGCGCTAGAGAATAGTTGATATCTGATTCATCCTGTTATCTCAGTGTTTCACGATTTTGTCTCCTCACATTCTGAGACTCCAGTGGCGGAACGCGGACTTGGCATCTGGCGGAAGATAATTTAAACGCCCCGGAGGCGACAAGTGCGGGGATTGAATCATGGATCTCAGGCTGTGCCTCACTTGCTCAGTCAACAAATCCCTTCAATCTCCAGTTTAACAAACAAACTCCATTTTATTGCGTCCCAAGCGCGAAAGCCAAGTGCTCTAGCTTGTCTAGTTTCTTCTAATCGCGTATGTCGCGTGTCGTGTCTAACTTGATCTATCGTTTATGTCTATCACAATTGTCTATCATAACCTAGCACTTTGCCTCAGACCAGTACGAGTACCAGACCCGGAGCTCTAGTCCTTGTTCCATCGCATAGCGCCAGGTCTGGCAGGGTCGTGCTCGACGTACTTGAGGGTGCCGAAGATGGTCCACAGCTGGCCCAAGAAGCTTCGGTCGTCGTGGCAGTAGTGGTCGCCGATGACGGGCTTGATGGCCTCGGTGGCCTCGTCAGCCTTGTAGAAGGGGATCTTACTGCGAGGGGTTAGATGTGAATTGGTGCCATTGAGACAGGTGACTTACGGGAAGAGATGGTGAACAACGTGCTTCTCAATGATACCGTGGAAGAGGTGCTTTCCGATGAAGCCAAACTCACGGTCGACAGTGGCGAGAGCTCCCTTGACGTAGGTCCAGCCCTCAGCGGTGTAGTGAGGGAGCTCGGTGTGGTGGTGGTGGAGGTAGGTAATGGCAACTAATCAATTAGCAACGAGTCGATCGATCCGATTGATCTTGAACTTACCGAGCCAGTGGTGAACCCACAAGTAGGGAACAAGGTAGAGGAAGAGAATGGTCGAAACACCAACTTGCTTGGAAGCAAAGTACAGAGCAGTTCCCATAAGAGCAAGACCGATATCGGAGATGAGGATGAAGATGGCCTCGTTGGGGCGGAAAACAGCGCTGGTAGGCTCGAAGTGACTGACTCGGAACCACTTGGAAAGGCCAGTCTTGGGCTCCCACTGCTTGCTGCCCTTGCCGGAGCTAGCGTTGAAGAAGAGATACGCCTGCCATCCGAAAAGCTGGTGGAAGATGAGCTTGACCATCTGAGCAGCGGGGGTATCCTCAACAAGCTCAGCGACGTCAATGCCAGCAATCATGAGCGACTTGGAAGGCTTGGGCTCAGTCTTGGGGACGAAAGCCATGTCGAGATCCATGTGGCCGGTGAAGCGGTGGTGGCGGTGGTGGGAGTACTTCCAGCTGAAGTAGGGGACGAGGAGGAACGAGTGGAGGAACCAGCCGGTCACATTGTTGATCTTTCCATGGAGGGAGAAAGCACCGTGGCCGCACTCATGGCCGAGAATCCAGACACCGGTGCAGAAGAGACCCTGGACGAAGCCGTAGACCATCCATGCTGCGACGCGGAGGGTCTGGTCGGGAATGCTGGGGATGTAGGTGAGAGCTGCCCAGACGAGGGCAGAGACCATGGCAAAATCGCGGAAGACGTAGTAGAATGAGGTGACGAGCGAGGGCTGGAAGCAGTGCGCGGGAATGGCATCCTTGATGGTCTTGATATCGGGGAACTGAGGTTCAGACTTGGCCTCAAGAGTGACCTGGGCACGAGTTAGGGTGCGATGAGGGGAGCTGCTTGACCGACATACCTTGGGGAGGTCCTCGACCACAACAGTGGTGGCAGTTCGCTGTCGAGTCGCCATTGTACTAACGTATGCAGAAGATGCAATTGTCAAGACTCACTCGAAGGAAGAGAAGGAAAGTTTAAAGAGGAGGAGAGAAAGAAGAGAGGCGGGAGGTGACGGGGAGAAGAAAAAGGTTCCCGCCCCAACAAAGCTCTTATTATTTATTCCTAGCTACCGATACCAGACCAGACCTCGTCTCAGGATTACCGCTCTTGACCTAATCCGAAATAGCATACGAAAAAAAAAACTTCTGAGAAGACCACCAAACTTCAGGGACCCATGAATAGGGGTCCAGAACTTGGACTCGTGGTAGGCCAATCACGGCCCCACGATGTGCGGGAGATCATGGAGAGTTGAGGGAGACGTGTTCATGATGTGGAGAACGAAAAAGGACCCTTAAGCTGTGAGCTTAGCACAGAGGTTAACCGAGTGGGTTCATTCTTGCAAGGGAGCCTTGCTGCTATACTACAATTTTGTTGAGCTCTTCAATTGCGGTGAGAGAAAGTCTACCGTGGGATCGCCTCTTCTGATACGAAAGGCAGAGAGAAGAGGCAATTTCGAGAAGAGAAGATCTAATCTCACATGCTTGTCTTGGGTTCCTGAAGAAAGTGGAGCACACCACCGCAGATAAGGGTCTGACCTTTCGTGAGTGGCTGAATGGTCACGTTATTTAGAGCGCCGCAGAGAAGACTTCTGGAACAAGAGTTGTTCCGCTAAATAAAATTGAGAGGTTTTTTTTTTTTCTTTTGTGGTGCTGATTGAGTCGCGTAGGTACGGACCAAGGGAGCTTTTGTGGACTGGGGCCAAGGTTAAGCGCCTCTTCTTGAGTCAAGCCTGTTCGAGTCAAGGTTTCACATGTTGACACTGATTCAATGCTTCATGCGTGAGGTTCCCAGCTGAATTGAATGGCCATTGAGACGAGGTAGGAAAACGCGACGTCGATCGCAAGAGACGAGAATACAGGCAACTTTAGGATAAAAGGCAACTTGAAGATAAACCTTATGCAATTTGACGATGAACTCAGGAGACCTTTGCTTTAACTTTCAACTCATTAGGCCTTTGATTGGTATTCTGAGATCCCAGCTTGGAGACCTCAAACTCTCTTGCCTCAGCGTTCATCATCATCTTGCATGCATTGAACGCTTTGTGTAGGCATCAAACTGCCTGATGAGGTCTTTATTGCGCTTGGTGTTTTTAGCTCTAGATTTCCCGATCTCACTCGTTATCGCTGCCCGAGGTTCATGTGATAATTGATGCCATTCTATTATTCGTATGCCGCTTAAGGGCTGGTCTCTATCTTTATGTTTAATGCGATGCGTGCAATATGTGCTATACCATGTAAAAAACAATCCAGTAGCAAACAATGAGTACCCTTGCCAATTGGTCTTTGCGCCTTTCAATCTCACCCACGAAGCATGGGCTGCCTCCCTCGTATGTATCAGCCCTTGTACATTATCGTTACAGTTCATTTCGTTATTATGCCCCATCTCATTTCTAGAAAATGAATGAGCACACAAAGACCAGGCATGTATAAATAGTAGTTGTCGTGTATTCCAACTCGAACCACGCGGCTTGACCGCCAAAAGCAATCTTCTTGCTCTGGGTGGTGGGATGCGCCACCTGCGTCTTTGGATCTCGGTTCAGCAGGTCCTCGCGGTCAGGCATGGCAGGCGGGTCAATCGCGTAGGAAATCGGTGTCCAGAGCGAACTGCAGATGAAGAGGAATGTGAGAGGTGGCCAGAATGCGTGGGTGAGAAGGGCGGTGAGTGTGTCGCGAACGGTGTGAGTCGTGACAAATGATCGGAACGATGTGAGAACCACAGCGACGAGGGTGAGATACACAAAGGCGAAGTGGAAAAGAGCCATGTAGTTGATGAGAATACCCCAGAGTCGTCGGAACATGTTCTTTCGGAGCTTGGCGTCGCGCTCATTTAGGGCTGAGCCGAGCGAACCTGTTGGCTTGAAGGCTTGAGTTTGACCGCCGAGCCATGTTGGCAGAATGAACGATCGGATAAGGCAGAGCGCGATGTAAGGAGACATCCAGAGCTGATATCGCGAACCTCGCTGACCGGTATGATAACCTGCGGGAATGAAGAGAGCAAACTCGCAGAGACGGTTCGATATGACGGATGCGAAACACGCGCGGATCAACCATCGGAGCTGCTCGTCGGTAGCATATGCCACAAGAGGCTTCTGCATGATCAGGATAATCGGAATGGCGAAGAGCGAAATGGTGAGCAGAATGGTGTACATGCTCAACGAAGCGTACAAGAAACCGGAGAATCGCTGAGCGGTGGTCATCTGGCGAACCTTGTCGCCCCAAAGACAAAAGTTCAGCTTGAAAGATGTATCGACTGTTCCAATAGCCCATCGCGTTCGCTGCTTAAGGTGACCGCCATAGTCTTCAGGAACAGTGCCAAACTGGAGAGGTTCGTGGATGAAAGCCGTCTTCCAGCCCTTACCGAGCATGAGAGTCGATGTAGCGACATCCTCGGCCAGAGATCCAAGAGGGAAGTTACCAATCTCGTCGAGAGCTTCACGACGAGCAACGTAGCCTGATCCGGTGCACCAAGCGACACCTAGAGCGTCCTTGATGGGCTCAATGACGTGGACAAAGAAATCGAGACTTTGAGCGAGGGGATCGGAGGGAGGGGTGTTGTAGAAGAGCTGGGGAGGGCATGCGAGAGCCATCTTGGGGTCGATGAGCATGTGAGGAAGAATAGCACGGAGCCAGTCACGCTCGGGAATCTGCAATTGTAAGTATGTCGTTGCTCAATTTGCGGGAATAACTTACCATATCAGCATCCAGAGCTGCCATGAATTGACCGGCGCCTCCAGGCAGTTTGTGCACCTCGTCAAGACCATAGTTCAGGTTACCCGCCTTGAAATGATGAGGTTGACCAGGAATCTTGACTCGAGCCATGTAGTACAGGTTCGGGTACGTCATGGACAACTTCGCACATGCTTCCTCCAGACCAGAAGATTTTCCATCATCCAGCAGAATGACTCTGTATCGATCCCGGGGATAATCCAGATCACACGCCGCTCGCACCGTATCCATAACCAGATCATCATCTTCACCACAGCAAGTGATGAATGCATCGACAGTTGGCACATCGTTGCCCGTCAATCGCAGCTTAGGTCGGTTCCTCTTCTTCATCGACCACATTGTCCACGTATTATGCATCAATGACGGAATCGCCGTTGCAATCTCAACACCGATGAATATCCATGCACCAGCATACGTCGTATCCGCCGCATTCTGCGCCCAGATAACACAAGCAATTCTCAGCGCAAGATACGCCATGTAGAGTCCAGTATTCGCAAACGTGAGAAAAGGAACAAGCCTAAACACCCATCGCTTCCAACCACCCCAGATCTCAGCGTCGTCGCGCTTATGCACCTGCTGAATAGTGCTGCTGTCAACGATATAATCCTTGTTATAAAGTGTGTTTGCGCTGCTGCTCTGAGGCGAACCCCCGCCGGGCAGAAGCGCAGCGAGACTTAGGTGGCTCTGGTTCTGTTTGACGGAGTCAGTGACGTTGGACGATTTGTTGACGAGGGTGCGGGAGCTGACCATTAGGCTGGATGGTCTCCAGTCGACGGACGAATTGCCCGGGTGGTGATGCAGACGAGCTGGTGTTTCTCTACCGCTTCGCAGTGTCGGCGATGCAGAGCGTGAACCACCCGGTGTGTCGTTGAAGTACTGCCCAGGGCTATTGGCAATGTGCGGAGGCCATTCAGGCGCTGGACTGTAATCGTCAAAGTGCGCTGGTGAAGGCCTAGCGGGTCGTCCCTGCTCAGTGACAGAGCGGCCCTGAAACTCTTCCGTTGATGAATGATAGGGCGAATACGGCGTGTATTGCTGCTCTGGGGGACCGTATGGAGAGTGGAGGTCTTGCTGGAAGTACTCCTGCTGCTGATACTGTCTCTGTTCATGCTGCTGCTGATGTTGACGCTGCACATCGATCTCTACCATCTCCCTATACTCCCTCTCCTGCTCCCCCTCTGCATAGCCATGATGCCCGTTCATCTTAACTCTGGGCGGGTGGGACGCATGCGTTTGGGTTCCGCAGGTACAACGTGGTGGTACGAAAAAGTATGCAAGCCGATAGAAAGTCAATGGCTTATCTTGGCAAACCTTGGATGTTCTTGGTTATAACGAGTGACTGGTACCTTTGCAAACGATGGATGAAAAGGAAAAGAAATACCAAGAGTTCAAGAAAACGAGAGAAGATTGACTAGAAAGAAGAAGAAGAAAAACAAGGGAGAGAGAGGAGAGTACATAGAGACAAGAGGCAGATCCGATGGGGGTGTGTTGATTTGAGTTTAGGTAGGTTCCCAACTGGCACGTCCCCCAGTCTCTGCAAAGTATGTGCAGTGCAGTATCGGTTCAGGATTGGTTTATTCTTGGAATAAACAAGCTCCAGCCCATTAACACGAGCGAACCACCCGAGCATGCCGTGACACTAATCCAGGAACAACTAACAGATACACTAACACAACACCCCCCCCCCCCCCTTCGTATAGCAGCGCAGGGGTTAATCCCGGGTTTAGATCAGGGGCACTTTCAGCTGCGAGCGTGCTATCAGCTTGCGCAGTGCGCTACGTGATTGGCATGTCGGCATTTCCACAGAGCACCACTGGCCACTCCGCATATGCAAGGGAGGGGGAAGTGTGCATTGCATTGGCTAGCAGCCAATTTGGGAATAACGAGCCTGTGCGAATGATAACGTCTACGCAGTTGCAAAAGCTTGTTCGTTTCTTCCTCCTCCTTTGTTTGGAGGTCCAGTTCAATTCAGTTCAATCCTTTTTCTCTTCTCTGCTCAGAAACACCAGCAGAAATTATGACGATCCGGTTCCTCGTCAATTTTGGCCTTTTGGCCCTTCCTATCGCCATCACGCTGGGTGTGTTGATCGGTCTTAACAGTTCCCGTGAAGCATCGGGTGGACCGCCTTTGTTCAAGCCAGATCCGAAACCGACAGCACCAAAGAAGAAGAATGGCATTACGACGGAACAACATTGCCAAAAGTCTTATGGTGTACATCCTGATACCAAGGGCCAAGAATATACACGTGAGTACAAACTATCGAGTTACTGTGTAACTCGGGATGGGATCGAGTCTTGTGTAACGATTGTACCTTTGCTAACTGTCGCGCAGTCAATCCTAATCAGTGGGGTTGGAACGAAGGCGATGACGGAGGTTTATGTTTATATGTAAGTCAATCCTCTACTTTTCTATCATGATACCTCCTCATGATGCATATCATGCTATGCCGTCATGCGACACCAAGCTCTCCCATCCGATTCTGACTATGGCAGGTCGACATCAACAACAATGAAACGTACGCAACAAAAACAACCGCTCCTCGATGGTCCGTAGTATGGGAATACCCTCAAGGCCCCGAAACCGCTCCTGTCCACGCCTTCCCCAACATCAAAGTCGACGGCTCCGTGTTCCCCGCCAAGCTCAACACTATTGACAAGATCGAGATCGACTTCGAATGGACATACGCTCTTGGCAACGGTTCCGCAAAAGGCGCTACACAAGCTACAAAGACAGATCTCGCCGCAATGAAGAAGAACCTACTAAATGCCAACGTCGCGATGGATATGTTTATGGACAGCGATCAGAAGAAGGCGCAGGACAGTGAGGATGCGTCGCACGAAATCATGGTGTGGTTTGCTGCCATTGGACCTGCGACACAACCTCTAGGCTTCAACGTTGATGGATCAAACCCCCTGGCGACAAAGACTCTCCACGGTACAGAATTGTAAGTCAAGCTTTCTCGCGCAGGGATTATGCATGCGATGCTAATCGGATCAGCAAACTCTACTACGATACCAACCAGGCCAAGCAAAAAGTCTTGACATGGTACGTCGACGAGCCCACCGAAAAGTTTGATGGTGATCTCTGGCCATTGATCGAGGAGATCCTCTCCATGGATAACGCGAATTACCCCTCGTCATCCGATTACATTGGTTACATGTCCTGGGGAACAGAAGCTTACTCGGCCAACACGACGGTAACATTCGACGTCCCCAGCTTGTCGATAAACGTGGAGAAGAAGGCCTAAACCGTTAGATAAAGCCTTCTCGCTTTTTTTTTTTTTGCATATATACGAACAACCTATAGATTAATGAGCGGCGTTTGTCTTAATTGAAGATATATTTTTTGTTTATGATCAAATACGCCATGTTGTTTTACGCGGGGCATGCATATCCCTTTGGAGGCAGGATAAATTACAGAAAACGCCGTGGCTTGTGCTGGGGAGGGCTAGAGGGTGGTGCGGAAGCTATTGCATGCGCTATTTGGACAATGTTCGTATTTTTTGCAGGTTGTCTTGTTTCTTTTTCTTTTTCTGGAGCTGTTATTGATGATCTAGTCTGTAGGCGGAAACTTCCAGGGCGAGCGGGGCGTGAGGGTGTGAGCTTAGTGAGGATGCTGATCAGTGCATCTGAGTTGGTGATGAACTCGGTATTGTCGGGTGAACCGGGACGAGGGATGTCTTTATTGGGAGATCTCCTCTCTTCATGCTTTTGGTCATGGTCATCTTTTCTTTAACGAGAATTACCATCAGATTGTTGTTCAATTGCTCGAGCAGATGATGATGGGCTCGTATGGAAAGACGTCCATGGCCAACACGAGATAACAAACCAGGGTGCAGAGTTACAGATGACCCGTGCACTGCCGGTCCAGCATCAGTGACAAACGAAGAGGGGCTGGTTCCCAGAAATACATCCTTGCAATTGGTGTCTGCCCTGCAAACCCTGCCGTCGTCAGCTGGCATGGGATGAACCAAAGGAACCGTATCATTCTTTGGACGCCTCAGCATTTAATAGCAGAACCACGTTCTCCGTATTGATCAGGAGCTTTTCAAAAGGGGGAACTCAATTCAGCATTAAACAGAGCTTTGGAAGTAATGATTAGCTTGCATTAAAAAATTACCCGTCAGAGTGCTTCCCCCCTCACCCATCACCGCACTAATAAGCGCCACTTGATGACATGTTCAGGTTGCAGCGCGGGAGGTGTTGTACACAAGACGACAGGTCACTGAAGTAACAATGACAGACGCCAACATGATACGTGAACACGTAAAAACTCACATGGGTGCTGTTATCCCTTCTAGCGTTTTGCTTTGCCGATCGGATCAGTAAGCGGAGTGGTCTGATGCGAAAAACACGAAGTTGAGCGGAGAGACCGTTGTCTCAAAGCTCGGACATCGAGCCAAACTCATGATGGACTGGTTTGGGGTCCTGTCGAGAATAAAAAATTCAACCTTCTACCGGCCCGTCCAAAAGATGTGGCATCGTCCGAGATCCACTGTGAGAGCCACTCCCGCAGGCTTCTCAACATTCTTCCATTGACTTTCTTCTTCTCAAGAGTCTATTCCAGTCTATTTCCACTTCCTCCAGCTTCTGCCACGTGAAGATATGTGCCATGGCACGTGAAGAAATGCCCAATTGGCCTGTTAAAGGAGACAACAGCCATCCCTGCTTCCAAAAGAGAACAAGGCTGGGGAGGCATCATTGCAACTGTAATAGCAGGCAGATGAGATATTTTTAACCCAATCGTCGATCTGGCAAGGCAAGGTTTTTCCTTTCTCCTGATTAAAAAATCGCTCTTTAGTGGCTACACTAATTCATCTCAACTGTCGTCATTCACATCCTTATCATTCGGTCTTGGCCCCGAAATTAAGCATTGCCCAGCTGTCTTGCCAAGGGGGCGTGTGCCTCCTGTAATCCCTGTTTTCTCATGCTCGGTACCTGCGTCGGGAGGTTTTTTTAGGTGGCGAAGAAATTGTCTAGACTTGAAAATTTGATGGGAAAAGGAGATTGAGATCTAAATCGTTAGATGACCTAGGGCTGGATCTTGGAAAAGCTTATCACTGTGAGAGATGAGGCCGATAGAGAGGTTGCAGCCTTTGGTGATTGAGGCCAGGATGTGCGTGATAAGAGAGGTCAGGGTTTAGACGAGGGGGTTCGTTCTTATCATGGCGCACTTTTGTCAACGGTCAATCAACTCAATCCTCAGTCAATTGGTGCGCATTTGCCGATGACCATTACATGGACAAACTCTAGCTTTCACATTCTCCCATGTGAATTGAATTTCGCAACCACATTCTCAGTCCAATCCCACCACTTGAAGACATCCAATTGCAATCGCATTTCACCCCCCACGTCGGGGGACATGATCCGCAGCGGTACACTCTGACCATCTGTCAGCACTTAAGATCTCTCTTATCCACTGTTGCAAGTGATATGAACATAAAGCTTGGCAGAGTCGGTCTTGAGCCCATAATTATCAACAATTTGAAGTTGTTGTAGGGTAAGAACTGCATTTGTCGCAGCCTCAGAATATGCATGATTCATTTCCATTCTTCTCTGAGACTCCGAGTTTCATGCATCGCCTTGACCCACTGTAGGCATCTCTGACGAAGGATCGTTACCCTGTATCGCCGAAAAGCTACCTTTCGTGCATTTGTTTATGGTTCATGCAAGCCTTCAAGCTTAATCAAATGTCGAGGGATAATTCATAATTGAGCTTGTGTACTCTGGAGTAATCTCATGTGCTACTTGTATATCTTAGGGCTGGTATTACACAGATCTTCGAATATTAGAGGCAACGTCACTTGAGACATGAAGCACCACATCGAGAGACATCTGGAGCCCGAAAATAGCTTATATGGGTTCACCATTTCTTACCATAATATTTACACGAATCATAACGAGTACAGCGAATCCGTTTACCAGATCTTTTAGTCATTATGATCCCAACAAGCTGTGATGAAACAACACTGGAATGTGAAGGGAATTATCACCTGGAACCCGCTACAGATGCTCCAGTAAATGTTTTATTTGAGCCTCCCTTGATCGCGCAAGTCTCCAAATCATTCTAGAGCAGATACTAGCAGAATGGAGAGGCCCCGGTGTGCGGGCTGTGCCATCCCTCACGGCCCGTCGTTGGCATTCCTGCAACGCGGGTATAAGATCGGTGATGAGGTGAACGGGGAATACGGAATGAGAGAAAGGTTGGTGGTACGCGATTGACATTTTATGTGAAACATTGGAGTTTGCATTAGTTTGATCGCACGATGCAACGTGCTGTGGTTCTGATCTCGACGATCTTGGTTGATCGTGTTCGCGTATCTACATGATCGACTAGAGGCCCAGTTGATCAACATGCTGAGCGACCACGAAAGGTGTTGGTTGACCACATTTGATGCAGAATAATGATTAATAAAAACTCGGGTTTGGCGAGAATGCCGATGCTGTGTGATGGCAATATGCCTGCAGAGTATGGCTGGGGGCCGCTTCGTTCGTGATGGTTGCTCACAACTCCCGGATGTCCAGCGAGCTGAAGGCTTCGAGAGCTTACGACAGAGGGTGCAAAGATGTAAAAGCATCAATCTAGTCAGTGGCAGCCTTTGGAGCACCGGGTCCCATTCACAAGCCTGCCCTGTTGGCCTCGGTCGGAGGGCTTCTGTCGTAACTAAGATCACCATCCACATCGAGGTTGCTCAACATTGGAATACTCAACCTAACTAGGAGAGAGAGAGAGAGAAAGCGCTAAGATAGATGGATGTCATAAGGCATTTCGGGGATGTGAGCTGTCTTGGTTGCAGTAGTACGTAGAGTTGCTGCTTATACATGCTTCTCTGTTGCGTCTCCTGTCGTTGAGCATCCTGCTCAGCAATATGTCAAACGATCGATTTCAGAACTTTCTCGATTCAATGCACAGTCTTGGGCACATGTTGCTGGAAGCATTCGTACCCAGGGATTGCATTTGCAGGGTCGTCGTCCTTAGTGACACTTGCAGATGATATCCAGAAGCCCACAACATCGACGGTCGCATTCATCCAGGTACAACAGAAAACACTGGCGAAGACACGAGGAGCAGGCCGTATTTGTTTGAGATGCAATTTCGGGAGATCTTGCTGTTATTATAGTATTTAAGGGCAGCGACAAGAGCGATGGCCCATGGTCGTCGGCATTTGGCTATGTTGCATTGTTCATTTCGGCACTGCACTCGGCGAATAAAGATGAGCATCACTTCCAAACTGTAAATCATCAAATGCGCTGAGGATGACGGCGGTTGGCTTGCGAGACACCAAGGTGATAGACGGCCTGTACACTGAATGGCCATAAACTATACTGCTGTGTCACTGTACCATCAAACGTGAAGCTGGACGGCTGAAAGTGGCAGCGAGGGAGAGAACCCTGGCTCCATTGCTGGTGTAATCTCAGCTTTTGCTATTTTGAGGCGCCGGTTTGGAAAGACGAAACCGGTTGCGCGCACTCTGAGCGGAATAGTCACAGTGGTACGGGTGGTTGTAGTTGACCGGACTTCAGTCAAGCAGATAGGATCGCATCGCGCACCGTCGCATGCAGTATGAAGAATATCTGCTTCATGTTAGCGACCAGTGATCTAAGACGGGCGAGTGAGTGAACTTACATTACTTTTATGCATACTCAACTCTCGTCGCTATTGAGGTCCCTCTTTTCCCTCATCCCAGTCCTTCAGTGCTGCACTGAGCGCCTTCTTCGCTTTCATTTGTCGCGCAAGGAAAGGAGCATTGAAGAGCTCATGGAGAGGCATCTCGCTGTTTGCATGATCTTGCGCAAACTCAACGGTGCACCCCTTGCCCAACTTCTGCTTCGCAATCTTGACACTCTCACGCAACATATCCCCACCAAGTCCTCGACGTCTGTACCGCGCCCTCGTCGTCCATGCACGAATGAAGGCAGCCTTGTTGCTCTTCTCCAGTCGAAGGACCACTGCAGCGATGATGTCCTTCCCGAACCGCGCCCCGATGATGGTATCCTCAACACCATCCTTCTTCATCCAGTCAAGCCAATTCGTCTCTTCAGCGATGCGAATGTACGCACTGGTGAAGTATCGAATTGCGACGAGGTATGTGAGTATAATACCGGGGTAGATGATCAGCATGGTGCTGATGTCCTTGCCTATGCCCGCGCCATAGTGTGCGATCGCAAGAATGGCTACAAAGACAGAGAGGGGAATGGGGTGGAAGATCATGGCGCGTGATGCTGTTTGACGCTGTTGCGCGACACTGTCGGCGATGAGTTTGAGAGCATCCTTCTTTTCTTTTGGGTCGGTTAGGACCTCGATTGACAGAGGTGGCGGTTCTGTTGGTTCTGACATGGTGATGTTTGAAGAGTGAGGTGAGAAGTTGACGTATGATGCGCGCGCAAAGAATGCGACAACCTTGCGTATAAGCGAATGCAACAACACCCTTTACAGCGACGGCCCGAAAAGAAGAGATAGGTCACAAGAGAAAGAAAGAGGCAGAATTCGAATACCCAGACTTAGAAGAGTCATTGGAAGACACGTGCTCTCCAAGTCGAAAAAGTCTTGGCCCGCGGGATTAAACCGGCAACACAATCGACGCTTGTCTTCAGCTGAAGCCGTGATACCCGAAATATTGAAGACTCCAAACGCCTTCGGTGTCCCAATGCAGCAAAACTTTACCACCAACAAGCTTAGTCCTTAATGACAAGCTTACTCTCTCGGTGTCTCCATTCAAGTCCAGATGCACCTCAATCTGTCACTCTTGATGCCAAGGCGGGTCGGAGCCACGCTAATTCCGTGCCGTGTCCCGAGACCCTGGAACGCTTTTAGCCAAGCAATCTCAACGCTTGAATGCACGTGGGAACGGAGCTCGACGTCTATTCGTCCTCACTTATAAGTGTCGTGTGCTTCATCCTATACCGAGCATGGAGACTCAGGAGATAGCATGTCGAGTTCTAGAAGAGCATGTCCTCGAGAAACAAAATTTGACTGGTGCGTCTCGGTTCGGACGGCTCTCGATGGGATTTTTGTAAAAGAGAACTATGGGGGATTAATATCGAGGACGGTTTATATATATTAGATCGTTCTGTTCTTTTCTAGATCTCTTGGCTTGTTCTTGGCTGCAAGGATAATTTCTCTTGTGAACGTGCCGCTGGGTACCCTTTCCAAGAAGACGTACGCGAAACTAAGACCAGTTCTATTCTTCATATCGTTCTTTAAATAATTCTTCCAAAAATGGCTGCCACTCCTGGTCCCGTCGCCAAGACAAGCGGCGGCAACAATGCCTTCCACAACTTTCACAACGACTTTGCTCACATCGCCGACCCCAATGAGCGTCGTCGTCTTGCCCTCGCCGAGATCGACAAGGCTCCTTTCGGATGGTACCATGTCCGCGCCTGTATCGTCGCTGGTGTTGGTTTCTTCACTGACTCCTACGATATCTTCTGCGTGTCTATGTTGACCATCATGCTGGGTATTGTGTACTATCCTGGCAAGGGAAAGCTTGCTACTAGCTCTGATAACGCTATCAAGCTTTCGACTTCTGCTGGTACTGTTATTGGACAGCTTGGATTTGGTATGTTGGCCGATATTGTCGGTCGTAAGAGGATGTATGGTTTGGAGCTTATTGTCATCATCTTTGCGACTCTTGCTCAGGCCCTGACTGCCGGTTCGCCTTCCACCTCGCTTGTTGGTCTTATCATCTTCTGGCGTGTAGTCATGGGTGTTGGTATTGGTGGCGATTATCCCCTTTCTTCCATTATTACCTCCGAGTAAGTTCATGTACACTCAAGGCGATCATATCCAGGTTGACTAACATCGCAGGTTCGCTACCACCAAGTGGCGTGGTGCCATGATGGCTGCCGTCTTTGCCATGCAGGGTATCGGTCAGCTCGTCGCCGCTCTCGTCATGATGTTCCTCACACTCGGCTTCAAGTCTTCCCTCGAGGGTGCCCCTGATACCAAGCACTGCACTGGAGACTGCCAGGTCGCCGTTGACAAGATGTGGCGTACCCTTGTTGGTTTCGGTGCCGTCCCTGCTTGCATTGCCCTCTACTGTAAGTCACTTACATCTCGACCTCTCAACAAACACTGACATGGTATAGACCGTCTCACCATCCCCGAGACTCCCCGTTACACCTTCGATGTCGCCCGTGACGTTGAGCAAGCCGACGAGGACGTCAAGGCCTACATGACCGGAAAGCGTGAGGGCGACACCGACGAGATCGCCCGTGCTCAAGTCCACGCCAGCGCCAAGTCGAACCTACAGGTCCCCAAGGCCAGCTGGAGCGACTTCTGCCAGCACTACAGCAAGTGGAAGAACCTGTCCATCCTCATCGGTACCGCTGGTTCATGGTTCTGTCTTGATGTTGCCTTTTATGGTCTCAGCTTGAACAACGGTACTATCCTCAAGGTCATCGGTTACTCTTCTAAGGATGCCAATAACATGTACGAGTTCTTGTACAACACTGCTGTTGGTAACATCATTATCGTCTTGGCTGGTGCTGTCCCTGGTTACTGGGTGTCTGTTGCCACTATCGATACCCTTGGACGAAAGACTATTCAGCTTGGTGGTTTCATCATTCTGACTATTCTCTTCATTGTAAGTTGTTGTCGTGGCTGGTGGTTCACAACACTAACATGTTTAGGTCATGGGTTTCGCTTACAACCATATCTCCTCCAACGGTCTCCTCGCTATTTACGTCCTTGCCCAGTTCTTCTTCAACTTCGGTATGTCTTTATTCCTCCCACGAAAAAACGTATACTAACAACTACAGGCCCTAACACTACCACTTTCATCGTCCCTGGTGAGGTCTTCCCTACCCGCTACCGATCTACCTCCCATGGTATCTCCGCTGCCTCAGGAAAGATTGGTTCCATCATTGGCCAGGGTGCCATCTCCATCCTCCGCACCCACGGTGCCACCGACAAGAACGAGGCCCCCTGGATGGACCACGTCCTCGAGATCTACGCTCTCTTCATGCTTCTCGGTATCTTCACTACTCTCCTTATCCCTGAGACTGCCCGTAAGACTCTTGAGGAGCTCAGTGGTGAGGATGACTATGCCAACAACCCTGAGACTACCATTGATTCTGAGGCTCACGCCGGTAAGAATGAGGGAACCAGCGTTTAGGAGTGTGTCACTCTTTTAAGTTGGGGCTGCTGATTGGTTGCGTTGGTATCACATGAAACTTGGCAGTGATCTACGGACCCTGCTGGGCTGATGGAACAGAACCTGATTTACTAAAACATTCCTTGATTTGGTTGAGATACTTGGATACCCAACAAGTACATTACAAGTTTATAGCAAAATTAATAATCACTAAATAAATACCAAGTTACTGGATCCACGTTCCTTGTCAGTTGACTTGGCCCTGCTCATTCACGGCTTGTCAGGAAAGAAGAGCTGATGTTGGGGGGATCAATCTGTATTGAAGCATAGAGTATGCTCCGTGGTATTTACCAATAATAATTAAGCATTCACATAACAGTACCGCTTATCCGTACCCTGTATCGTATCCTTTACCGAGACCATGAAGCCGAAGGGTATACCCAGCCCTTTATCCAAGTCCATTACCAAAACACCAAAAGGAAGAATCGAAATTATTTACTCCTTCTTACCACCAAGCAGTCCGCCAACGGTGTTACCAACACCCTTTCCAACATCTTGTAGTCCCTGGGCAGCACCCTGGCCTCCACCGACAACAGCATTCGCGGTGCTGTTCATGGCTCCAGAGCCTGGAACATCCTTGTTGACGTATCCGCCGTTCTCATCACGGCCTTGTCGCTCGGCGCGGTTCACGCCCTCCTTTGATGCAAGGTCGCCGACGGGTTGAAGAAGACCTCCTTGGCCGACTTGGCCGGCGGCAAGGTTATGGACGCCATCTTGGAGAGTGTCGACTTGTTCAATGCCAGTGACTTTGGTCTTGTCGAGGTTTTCTATTGTGATGTTAGAAGGGAGGGGCTTGGATGTAGAGATGTAGAGAACGTACGCTTGGCGGCATAGCTTGTCTTGTTGTCCTTGGTGAACCAACGAAGATAAACGTCCTCTATCCAAGGAACCCACTTCTCGTACTGCTCGTTATAGGTAGCCTTAGTCCACTCCATTGTGAAGAATATCAAATAAAATTATGCGGAATCTGCTGTATCGTTTATCGTCTTGTTTATCTTGCAATCTAGCAGAGCGAAAGACTGTGCTGAAGACATCACTTTATACACATTGCGCGTCTTGCTACGTCATCCACCTTGCAAGGATCTGAAACGACGCAAGGCAAATCTCATAGGCTGTTTCATTTCTTGGTGGTGGTTGACCAAGACGCATTGTGATGCCATGCTGTGTCTTTTGGGTGTGGCGCGTGTCGCTCTAAAAACCGGTTCTCGTGGCGCCTCGACGTCATTTGGTGGGAGGACGACAGGGATGAGCCACGATGGTGTTTATTCCACGGTCCACCAATCAAAGGGGAAAAGAGTGCGATACTTCTTTTTAGGTGAGAAGATCATCGAAATGGAAGTCAATTAATGAGAGATCGAGAAATAAGGTTTCTGTGCCTCTTTCCGACATTTATGCTTATGGTCCTGAGGAAAAAAACAAGGAGTTCGTGATAGCTTTCCCTGGCTTCAAAGTACAACAGTTTGCATAGAGTTGTTCACAAACTCACCCAGTCTCTTGCTATAACACTCTTGAGGAAAATTGCAGATAGCCCGAGATTTAATAAAAGTATGGTGATCTTTCTAATTATTCCAGCCTAGGCCTTGGGTTTAGATACACTGTTGGATTTGATCAACTTCGGAAACCCAAGTTCCTGTTCTGATTTGCACTTGCTTTTGAAGATTGCATCGCTGTTGCCTCGAGAAGCTCTATATGTGTGTTCTTTGCCCTTCTTTCACTCTCCTTCGCCAATATCATGAGGCCAGGATTCCTCTCACGATTAGAAACTCAGCATCAACACAACACAGCACAGTACAGCATAGATATCAACAAACATTACAGTACAAAATGTTCGATCTGGACATCGAACTCGACCCCTTGACCAATAGAGTCTATCTTGGAAAGTATTACAACCTCTGCTTTGTCTTCCTCAACAAACCCTCCTCGTCATTCGCCGAATTTGTTTCCGGTATATACCAGGGCCTGGAACGCCTTTCGAAACAATTCCCCTGGATCACTGGCCAAGTCAAAAATGACGGATACACAAAGTAGGAAGACAATAAATACAGGATCATCCCGTTCCAAACGGCACCGCGCTTCCAAGTCAAGAACCATAAAAAAACCCCCCAATTTGATTTTAGAAGTGTCGTAGACGAGGACTTTCCTATGGCTTGGATCAACGGGAATGATGTTCCCATACAGGAGTTTTCGCTGGACTCGGGACCCTTTCCTGTGATGGAGTTAAAGTTCATCATCGAAAAAGGCGCTTCTGTCCTCACCATCAGTGGGAATAGCAAAGTCTTCGACATGACAGGCCTATGTATGATCCCTCGAATGTTGGCGAAAGCCTGTAGTCAGGAGTCATTTACATCCTTGGAGATATCGGGAATGGAAAACCACGCGGCGTTTTTTCATAATGACAACAAGATGCAAAGGCACGACAGGATCCCTGTCAGATTTGTGCCGGATCTTCTGTTGCCTCAAACCACATCGTTTCAGGAAAGAAATATTAAATGGGCTTTATTCTCTTTCGATCAAGACGCTCTTCAGGACATAAAGGACATGAGCATGAGTAGTAACAGCCTCTCGCAATACCTGGTGGATACTGATAAGGGGAACCCTGACTATATGTTCCAACTCAACTGGTTTGTTTGGTGTATCAGGGTTCCATGGCATCTGCCTGCATCAAAAGGTCTCATGTATTTCATGCCCCGAAGTGCGTAGAACGAAATCACGGTGGCTGTATCGTTGCGGCAGACGGATCTAGAGAAGTTATTGGGACGTCAGAATGGAATGAAAATGTGACGCAGATCGGATAATTGAGTTGAAGCACACGTCATCAATATCGATAGCAGTATAGATTTACTGAACATGAGTCGAAATTAATTAACTCCAGGGCTCAAGAGCTTTATTTCCTACGACGGGGTTGACTTGAGTGAATCTATAGCACACATCAATGAATGCCTAAGCTTTGCTTAGACGTCCTCATTGCCTAACTATTAGGTATAAAGATCAAAGATCTTTCCTTTAAAGTTCTTCGGCGTTAAGAGTCCCCGAGCCAGAAGGGTGTGCCTTAGGTAGCGGTGATTGGCGGCCCTGTGACACGCCAACAATCAGCTGACCGACACTATCATTTTACAACATCATGGTCACAACGACGCAAAAAGAATTTCAACATTGAAACAAAAGGAGAAAACGGCAAAAACATACAACAGCGGGGATTCGCTGGTCGTCACCGACCCAACTACTAATCCGCCCCTTACCAGCTTATCTATGGGAGAGCGGACGGGATCCCGAGTTCTCTGATAGGTATGGTCGTATGTACCAGACAGTCTGCTCTCAGGGATCATACGTGAGTGACGCTGCGGGAGAGATCATGGCTGAAGTTGGCTGTTGTCACCTTGAGGCGACTGTCGGATCACCACAGCCAATGGCGAGGTCATATTAGAAGAAAGAACAGCAATGCCAATGTTCGAGCTTATCGTCGAAGCTCACCTAATGAAGCAACACCTTACATCCCAAGCAACTCCTTCATCTTTTCACCCATAACACCAGGGTGCGGCACGATAATAGCTCCCGCATCTTCGAGAGCTTTACTTTTCGCCTCCGCAGTAACATCTCCGTTTCTCCAGATCGCACCGGCATGTCCCATAGCCTTTCCTTCAGGCGCTGTGCGTCCTGCTACCATCGCTATGACAGGCTTCGGTTTAGGGAATGTGCGACGGTGCTCTCTAATGAGCTCCGCGGCCTCGAGCTCTGCCTCACCCCCGATCTCTCCAATTACGACGATTCCCTTGGTTTCATCATGGTTGAAGAAGAGCTTCAGTCCATCGGCCAGGGTCGTGCCTGTTCTGTATTAATGGCGTATCAGCTCGTATGATGAGGACTTACCTGGTAGCATGTCGCCTCCCATGCCTACAACGATACTCTGTCCCAGGCCAGCTCGTGAAGTTGATCCGACAGCTTCGTAACTCAATGTACCTGATTTGGACACTATCCCAACACAGCCGCGAGTATACTGCTTGTAGGGCATGATGCCTACGCGACACTGGTTTGGGGCGATGATACCAGGACAATTGGGACCCACCAGCCGTGTCTTGGACTGTGTTCTCAAGACCTCATGAACCCGAAGCATATCGTGAACGGGTACGTGCTCCGCTACAGAGACAACAAGAGGAACCTCTGCTTCGATTGCTTCGAGAATAGCTGCGGCTGCGAATGTTGCGGGAACAAATACGGCGCTGACGTCGGGTTTGACTTCCTCCATCGCCTGGGACTGCCATTAGATTGGGCAATTGAGAGACCCAGTGAGACTCACCTCTTTGACGGTGTTGAAGACTGGAAGGTCTAGGTGTGGCTGGCCACCTTTGCCTGGAGAGACGCCTCCGACGACCTTTGTTCCATATTCTATTGTGTCTTGTGCATTTTTGGTTGCCTACGTTGTGTCAAGTCAGTGTCTGGCTTCATGACGCGTGGGATTGAGGTGTGTTCGTACGGCTTTGCCTGTGAAGCCTACTCAATTCGCGTTCTATGATCAGTCAATCTCTCCCAAAAAAAAACAAAAATTACGATACATGTATACCTTGGTATATAACTCGAGTCTGGTCTGTTATTTTGAGGTTCCGTATTGTTCTATCGTATGGACTGCTGTGCGCTGATGAGGTAGAGAAGCATTTCGCTGCCCTGAGAAGGTGTGTCGTAGAACGAACATGATGAAGAAACCGCAAACCTATCATGATGAGTGTGTTTTAAGATCAATTAAATGCTTGAAGACAAATTACACAGAAAGATCTGACCTTATGCGAGGTGCCGCTGAACAATGCAATTGTTCGTTGCTTCCGAGGTCAATTGGTGATGGATCGTGAAACTACCCCGCCATTGGAGATCCATCCCTACAATCACCGTTGCTAACCTGTAGCAAGAGATACACCAAGCAATTGGCCTCGATTGCGAGCTCTCTAATCGAATTGCAGTTGATGCCGGGGAGCCTGTCATCTGTCAAAATTGACCTGATCTCATAACATTCTCTCTAGATCAATTCGAGCTTGTTGCACAACACATCGTCTCCATAATGTGAGATTCTGGCGGGGGTTCTTCATAAACAGTGTTTACACAAAGTATAGCGGGGAACAGTTTGAGCATGTGAACCATCATTTCCTATCCAACGCAATCTCTGGACCTTTTCACTCTGGCATGTGATACTTTCTATCTCCCCTCAATCTCCTGAAGGCCTTCTACATAGCTGATTGCTGGCCATGAGGTTAAACTTTAGGCTGCTCACACAGACATATCTGAATGGCTTCAGTTCCACCAGTTCACTGGCTGCCAGGTGGGGCTCAACCAGGAGGAATCCACGGCGTGACGCACAGAGTCATCTCTAAAGCCGCTTTTGGAAAGCGGTGAACGTTCTGAGCTTCGGAGGGCGTGGCAGAAATCGTACCCCACCGCCGAATCTTTCTTTTCGTTGATTGAAGTTTTTGCGAACGCGCCGTGCAAAACTTCCAGCAACTCCGCCCTGCAATATTAGCAGTTTCAATACTTTATATAAACGAACAATCGACAGAACAAACGGCATCATGAAGGTTGTTCTTGTGAGCGGCGGAGTTATCTCTGGTGTCGGCAAAGGTAAGCTTATCGTCGTCGCATTCTTGTTCTGAAGGGCTTGCTAATTCGTGAATCATAGGCATTATCGGTATGGCAATTGACGAGCTGTGCTGATCTTCTCAACGACTGACACCAATGTTAGCCAGTAGCGCTGGTCTTCTTCTCAAGACTCTTGGTCTTCGAGTCACGGTACGATACGACAAACATGGTCACCGAACGAGCTTTGACTAACGTTACCAGGCGATCAAAGTAAATCCCACCGACGAAACCCTCTCACCGACGATTCTAATCTTCGACTAGACCGATCCTTATATCAACACCGATGCTGGTCTTCTCAATCCTCTCGAGTATGTTGCGACTCAATCCCATGGTCGTTTCTTCCGTTAACAAATCCCAGGCATGGCGAGTGCTTCGTTCTCGATGATGGCGGCGAGGTACGCTTAATATTCACCGACGAAAAACTTTGCGCTGACCCCTCAGACCGATCTCGATCTTGGAAACTACGAGCGGTATGTTCGACAACTAGACTCAGCAAAAGCTCGACTAGGGACTTATAGTACTGCAGATACCTTGGCATCCAATTGAGCCGTGACAGCAACATCACCACTGGCAAGATCTACCAGCAGGTCATTGTACGAACCCTCACGAATCTTCGATACGCGATCGACGACCACTAATACAATTGATGTAGGAGAAGGAGCGACGAGGAGATTACTTGGGAAAGAGTATGTGTTTTGTTTGAGATTGTTGTTTTATGCGGATGCTAACGATGTTCTTAGCTGTTCAGGTACATTGCGCAGCACTACGATCTTGTAGATCCGACTAACAGCATTCGAGGTCGTTCCCCACATCACAGATGCTATTCAGAACTGGATCGAGCGCGTTGCCAAGATCCCAGTTGACGCTTCTGGCGAATCACCAGATGTTTGCATTAGTACGTTACTCATGAGCCAGATATAGCGCGACAGTCGCTAACCCACTATAGTCGAGCTTGTACGATCTCTTACCGATTTCCGATAGCCCAGAACGGCGACTGACTTAGCGACAGGGCGGAACAATTGGTGATCTCGAATCCGGTCCTTTCGTTGAGGCCCTTTCAGTATGACACCAAAATCGATCTCGAAGCCCAATACTGACAGCTGTAAAGCAATTGCGACACAGACTCGGCCGCGACAACTTCCTCAGCATCAGCGTTTCCTACGTTCCTATCATCAATGGAGAGGAGAAAACAAAGCCCACTCAGCACGCCATCCGACAAGTTCGAAGCGCCGGTTTGATCCCCGATGTGGTATGTATCGCGCGATTCGATTCCAGACCCCATTTAACATGTCTAGATTGCTTGCCGTTGCGAACGAGAGCTCGACGTTGCCACCATCACAAAGATCGCCCGAAGCTGCCAAGTCGAAGATGAGCAAGTCATTGGCGTCCGCAACATGGACACAATCTACCAGGTCCCTCTCCTTCTCGAGCAGGAGGGTCTTCTTAAGCTTCTGCGCAAGGGTCTCGCCCTTGAGAAGCTTGAGGTTGCTCCTCCCATGGCCCAAAAGGGCCAAGCACTTTGGGACCTCTGGAAGAAGACCGTTGTTCCCGATCGACACCTCGAACCCGTCAACATCGTCTTGGTTGGCAAGTACGTCAGCCTTGACGACTCGTACCTCAGTGTTCACAAGGCACTTGAGCACTCTGCTATGCGATGCAAGCGCAAGCTGAACCTCATCTCCGTCGATTCCGAGCACCTCGAACCCGATATGCAGCAGAAGGACCCCCGAAAGTTCCACGAGGCTTGGGCTCATGTTGTTCGAGCTCAGGGTATCATCGTTCCCGGTGGTTTCGGTACTCGAGGTATCCGTGGTATGGTTGATGTCGCCAAGTGGGCTCGTGAGCGAAAGCTCCCCTACCTCGGCATCTGCTTGGGTATGCAAACTGCTGTCATTGAGTACGCTCGCAACGTCATGGGTCTCAAGGATGCGACGTCCGAGGAGTTCTCGGCCACCGCTGAGCACAAGGTTGTCATCTTCATGCCTGAGGGTTCCAAGGAGTAAGTCAACATCGGACGCATCCAGGAGTGATGCTAATAGATAACAGGAAAATGGGTGGTACCATGAGACTTGGTAGCCGAACAAGCCACTTCAAGCCTGGCACCGAATGGAGCAAGCTCCGAGCTTTGTACGGAGGAGCCGATGTCGTGGAGGAGCGTCACCGACATCGCTATGAGGTGAACCCTGACTACATTGAGGATCTCGAGAAGGCTGGTCTTTCCTTGACCTCAATGGATGACCAAGGTGTCCGAGTTGAGACCATTGAGTTGAAGGATCACCCCTTCTTCGTCGGGTGAGTATCATCCATCGCGCATACCGACTATTGCTGACCGTCAACAGTCTCCAGGCTCACCCTGAGTACAAGTCCAAGACCTTGGCCCCCGCACCTTCGCGTGAGTACCCCCATGTCGCTGATCATCACCCACCATGACTGACTGTATCAGTGCTCGGTCTTGTCGCCGCCAGCTCCGGATGCCTCGACGAGATTATCGAGGCCGCTCGCGTGAAGAAGGAGGCCACCAACGGAGTCAGCGACGTGACCAATTTTTAGATGGCGCAGTTCAATGTCAGGCTTAGACTGGGATACGGTCCCACGGATTGGGGGTTACGGGCTTAGATCTACGTAGGACGTGAGATAATGAGGCTTTTTAGACTGCATGGTCGGCGTTGGGTGCTTAAAAATGAACTATACCTTGGCGAAAATGATAGACATGAATTTACAGATGCTTTGTATACTGAAGTGCTCTCAATTTGAAGTTCTCAATCTCGGTGACTGATGATCAATTGGATGCCCACTCCAACCCGCTTTTCAAATCGCGCAAATCTGCCGCTCACTCATAAATCGACTGTGGCGCACCCGTTACTGTTCTGACTTGAACGTCTTGCTAGTTTTGCCTCATATGTCCTGTGCGATGCGTTGCCAATTGAGCCTCGCGACGGCAGGATTGCGATCGTTTGCCGACGACACGTGACTCGGGCATGTACCAGTACCCCTCGTTGATCGCCTCGGCAACGTTCTTCAAGATCATCAAATTGTGAAATTGTGGTGTTTGTGAATTTTTATAGAAGCCTCTCTTACTGGAACGCCATGGCTCTTAGAACTAGACCCGAACTACAAAATATTTCTTTGTTCTCGAACACGTTTAATGTACTGCTCGTCACCCAACTTCACGCTCACTTGCTAACAGAATGCAGGGCTGCCGTCAGATCAATCAAATCAGATTAGGACCCAAATCTGATCTGAACTGATAAATCACCATTCGAATCTGATCTGATTTGATTGATTGATTGATATCTGATATGTCGTAGCTCACGTGAAGCTTCCCTCGGCCTCACGACCCCACCGTCGGATTCTAATCGGCCTTGTTACTCGAGCATAGGCCTCCGAGAGTAATACATCCTCCCCTGACCCAGTTCTTCAGTAGCTGGATCGATTCAATGCTTGATCCAAGTAGAGAATGTCGCTGTGAGCTGACTGTAAGCTTCGCAAGACTGAATGCCCTCTCGCAGTCGGTTGACATGGCCGGAATAGCAAGAATATCCAGTGCAAACCTACTCAAACGTGGGAAAGCATTGCTATGATCGATCCACCAACGAATGGGATCATCTACCTGTTCTGGTTCGAGCCTGTAATACCGTTCGAGTTCACTGCCTGTTGCCGAGAGCTTAGGTTGTCGGCTTTTTATCCACTGCTCAAACCTACTTTGTTCAGGTCGGGGCGTCAACGAAGGCGTGATAAAGACACTCTCAGAGGCATTATCGTCATTCTTCGAGTACCAACGCTCAAAAATAGACTTTGATGCCGTCCTTTGCATCTCGAAGCCATTGTAGCTGTTCTGGGGAAGTCCAATTGGTCTCCAGCCACCGGAGTCCAAGGTCCGGATTCAGAACAACAGAGGCTGCAAACAGAGGCGACCGTCCGAGGAGAGTATAGTACTCGTTTAACTTAATCCAAGCATTGTTTATACTTGCCTTAATGCTAGCGCGCTCCTGACCCTCCATACTGGCAATATTGCTCACCGAACGAGCATCGTCTTGCAGGTAGTCTTCTCGGGAATGTACAGGAAGCGCATCTTCATTAAACTGTGAGCTGGCGGGTGGGCGAGCTGGAAGAGTCGTTTCGCGACGGCGGCGCAATGGTGTAATTTCGTATCCTTGAAGTCGTGATGGTAACCGTGACTGCCGTGAGGGTCGCTCCCGGATTTGTCCGACTGTCGGTGGCCGCGAAAGTGTTGATGTCACACCCATGGCCGGTCTAGCTTCCTCCCCCTGGGTTGTATACCATTCTTCCGCAGCCGGATCAGCAGTTTCATCCTCGTAGAGAACCTTCCAGTCTTCAAGATGTTCTAGGATAAACTCCATTCCCGTCATGACTTCCCAGAGCCGACCGT